ATCACCATCACCATCATCATCATCATCATCATCACTCCCACCACCACCACCACCACCACCACCATCATCATCATCATCATCATCATCATCATCATCATCCTCATCATCATCATCATCATCATCATCATCATCATCAGCATCATCATCATCATTATCATCATCATGATCATGAGCATCAGCATCAGCATCAGCATCAGCATCAGCATCAGCAGCATCATCATCATCCTGCTCCTCCTCCTGCTCCTCCTCCTCCTCCACCTCCTCCTGGTCCTGCTTATGCTACTGCTCATGCTCCTGCTCCTCCTCCTCCTGCCCCTCCTCCTCCTCCTCCTCCTCCTCCTCCTCCTCCTCCTCCTCCTCCTCCTCCTTCTCCTCCTCCTCCTCCTCCTCCTCCCCCGCGCCAACGCCTCGAGGGAGCTCGATTCCTGATCTCAGCACGTTGGCTACTGCACGTCGACCCAGACCCGCTCGAGCAGCGAGGAGTCGTCAACCTCCAGGCGGCGGCCGCCGTCGTGGAGGGTCAACGACCGTCGAGGGTCGAAGATCGAGGGTCGAGGTCTTTGGTCTGCCCTTCCGGGACCCCTGCAAGCCGCCAGAGGCCTCCAGGGACCTCCCGAGGAGGCCCAGGATGGTGGTGAGGAGGTCAGGGACGAAACCTGTGCTCTCAAGACCCAATGCCCCCTCTGGAGCAGCAGCAGCAGCAGGACGGGGGAGGGGAAGGGGGAGGCGATGGGGAGCGGCGGCAAGAAGCAGCAGGAGCAACAGCAGCAGCAGGAGGAAGCAGAGGGAGGGGTGCAAATGAGGCGCAGCAGCAGCAGCAGCAGCAGCAGCAGCAGCAGCAGCAGCAGCAGCAGCAGTAGCAGGAAGGCCAGGATAACTTCCCGTCGCGGTCGGGCGCCGACCCACCGCCCTCGTCTCCACGTCTGCGAGATTCGAGACGCTCCCTCCACACCGCGTAACGACATCTGCGGACACTGTCGGCGTGTGCATGGGTGGGTGATGAAGACATCCCATCCCCAGCTCCAGCGCGGATTTGAAGCTCTCCCCTCCACTCCCCTGTGGCTGCCCTCAGGACGTCCCCATGCGCGCCAACATAACGGAAACCGAGCAACGTCGTGATCGAGTCGGAACAGCGCCCCTTCACTTTGATCCCGTCTCCGCCAGGGCAATGAAACCTCCTGGAGAACTCAGAACTCCATATGGGATCCAGGTTCTCGGTTCCAGGTTCCGTGTTCTGGGCTTCAGTGCTCTGGGTTCCGAATTCCAACTCAAAGTTCTGGGTTCTGAGCTCCAGGATTCCAGGCTCTGGGTTCCACGGGTCCAGTTTTCCAGGTTCGGGGCTCTGGGTCCTGAGTTCCAGGGTTCCAGGTTCCAGGTTCCAGTGTTCAAGGTTCCACAATCGGGTTTCTGGATTCTGGGTTCGGGGTTCTGTGCTCCTGCTTCCTGGTTCTCGCTATGAGCCGTTTTGTTTTTCCAATGCGCCAGGGAAGGGGACCAGAAGGGGACCTGGGAGGGGAAATCAGGCGGGGGGGACCCTCTCCTGCTCCCGCGTGGATTCAGCGATCTTGAAACTCTTTGGCCTCCGAGATGGCGCCAGATGGCTGAAGTTGGCTCCAGCATGCGTCCGAGAGGTTCCACGACGCCCCAAATTTGTTCTGAGTGGCCACGGTGCCTCCCAAGGGCCTCCAGCCGCCCCCAGACAGGCCCCCAATCAGTCCCCGAGAGGCCACCTGCGACCTCCAAGACGCCCCGGCTTGAAAAATGCATCCAAGAAGAAGCCCCCGAGACGTATCCTCCTCAAGAAGCTCTGTAGGAGCCCTCGCGTCCGCGACCCCGGAGCGGTGTTTCGCCTCTTCTCCAGTCCCGAGGTGCTCGTCAAGGCTTCCGCGAGGCTTGGGACCCCCCCCCTGGAGGACGCGGCTCCCTGGCGCGAGCGGGCGAGAAAGCTCGGCCTTGATCTCCACGGACGGCTGGTTGTTCTCTACCAGCTCCGTGACGAACCTGCTGGAGGCCGGGCGTTCATCCATACACACACACACACACACACACACACCTGTGGGGACCGATGCCAGGAGCTCGGCAGGCAGTACGGACATCGATTCTCCTTCAGGCCGAGGAGACCCACAGACAGCCATGTCCACTGCCCCCCGGGATCCTGGGAAGTCGCGTCCCGATGCAGTAGATATGGGCAAATCCTGGCCTTGGAGCCTGGGCAGGTCCGTCTCTACTGCCTCCCTGATGCGCCTCAAGTCTTCGAGGACGGCGGAAAGGTTGCCGTCCGCGCTGGGCATCTCGCTCCTCGCCTCCTCGAGTAGACTGGCCACGTCCTGTCGAGCAGAATACCCCGGACACATTACGATGACCACGAAATGAAATAATTCAACATGATCGACCCACGAAGCCAGAAAAGGATTGAGAACTGCGAGGCATGGAACCGTTTCTGAGGACCTCAATTGCATATGCAGTTGGGTGATGCTAGGGGGACATGCCAGGGGGACGCGCCGCGGAATGTCCCAAGGGACGCGCCAAGCGACGTGCCAGGGGACGTGCCATGGGGACGCACCGCGGGACTTGGTGCCAAGGGGACGCGCTACGGAACATGCCAATGGACGTGCCACGGGACGTGCCTGGGGACGCGCCGCGCGACGTGCCAGGGGGACTCGCCACGGGACGCGCCACGGAACGTGCCAGGGAACGTGCCAGGCGATGCGCCAGGGGACGTGCCAGGGGAACGGGTGAAGGAGCGTGCCACGGGACGGGGACGCGCCGCGGATCACCTGGAGCCTCCCAGGATCCTCGCGCCCCGTTATCTAATCGAGATGTCAAGAGCCACGCGATCCCTCACAACTTACGCTGCGTCCGCGCTCCCTGGGCTACGGATCCATTGTAAATTTCGCTGGGCCCGCACTCCCATCGCCACATCACTAATACCAAGTGATGCTGGTTCCGCTACCCCACGGCCCACGGCCACCATCCCTCGTAAATTACGCTGCGTCCGCGCTCCCAGTGCCACGACCCCATCGCAAAGCACGCTGGAGTCGCGCTCAATCCCTAGTAAATTACACAGGTGTGCCAAAGGTATGCCGACGGTACTCTGAAAGTACGTCGGACAGACTCGCTGCAGGTACGCTCAAGGTACGCTGAAGGTGCGCGGTCTCTGTAGTGTGTTTTAACTAGAACCGTTACTGAAGATACGCCGAGGGTACGATGAAGGTACGCGTGTCCAAATCAGCGAAGGTACGCTGAAGGCACGCCGAAGGTAGACAGGAGCGGGGGGGACAAGGACAGACCCCCCTCTACCCCCGCTCCCCCAGACCATCGCTCCCCAAGACCCCGCAGACCCAGAAAAGAGGCCACACGCGACGGACCCAAACGAACGCATTACGGCGGGGCCACGCTCCCAGGCAAGCACCCTTGGTTCATCTTGGTTCTACTCCAAAAAACACTGCGTGCCTCCTCCCCCCGCCCTCCCCCCCAGGCACCGCGGAATCAGAAAGGGGCAACGCACGGCGGACCCATGAACGAAGCCATTACGACGGGACCGCGCTCCCAGGGCAACGATCAATCGTTAAGTACGTTGCGTCCGCTCTCCCTGGGCCACGATCACTCGCTCGTAAGCTACGCTGCGTCCGCGCTCCCAAGACCACGATCCATCATAAATCACGCGGCGTCCGCGCTCCCAAGACAGCGATCCCTCGTACACTACACGGGAGTCGCGCTCTCGAGTCCGCGGTCCATCGGAAATTCAGTCAAATTCGAGCTCCCAGGGCAACGATCCCTTTGAACTTACGCAGGGTTCACGCTCCAGGGCCACGGCCCCTAGTACTTTACTCTGGGTTCGCGCTCCGAGGGCAGCGATCCCTAGTACATTACGCTGGCTTCGCGCTCTCAGGGCCACGATTCCTTGTAAATTACGTCCGCGCCCCCAGGGCCACGATCCCTCGTCCATTACGATGTGTCCGCGCCCCCAGGGGCAAGATCCCTAATACATTACACCGTGTCCGACCCCTCCGGGCCAGGATCCCTCGTAAATTACGCTGCGGCCGCGCTCCCAGGGCAACGATCCATCGTAAAATATGCTGCGACCGCGCGCGCTCCCAGGGCCACGATCTGCGTAAATTGCACTGCGTCCGCACTCGCTGGGCCACGGTCCCCCGTACATTACACTGGGTTCGCGCTCCCAGGGCCGCGCTCCCTCGTAATTACGCTGCGTCCGCGCTCCCAAGGCCACGTCCCCCAGCAAATCTTGCGCTGTGATCTGGCTCCTGGAACCACCTGGGCATCCTGGGGCGCCCAGGCCGCTCAAGTTCTGCAGCACAACAAACGTTTCGCGCGAGGCACCCTCAAATATTTTCGGCGCGCGGGGCGCGCCATCCGCAAGCGGGCACGCCAAAGTCTGGTCGTTTCTCAGTTTCCGACACATTGCAAAGCCTCCAGACCTCCAGCCTGCGCAAAAACGCTCCGCACCCGTTGTTTGTTTCTTCAAAGGTGCGGACCCCGTTATCCGTCGAGGTTCCGAGCTGAGGGGGGCGCACTCTCCGCGCGGGCACACGGACAACGCACTTCTTCCACCAAAAATCACACTCTAGCAGCCAGAGTGTGATTTTTTGTTGCAAGCGAGCTGGAGTCTAGATCGGCATCTGTCGAGAAGAACTCCGCCGGCCCGCTGCAAGTCGATTCTGGGAGGTAGACAGCGACAAGAAACCCTGGGCCTACGCCCTTCCCGGGAAAAACTCATGAAAACAGCAGTGCCCCAAAACCCCCCCCGCCCCCGCCCCCGCCCCCGCCCCCGCCACCATCCACCCACCAAATCGGATACCTGCGTTTTGACCGTGTCCTCGCGAATGCCAGACATCTGGGTCGTGAGTTCTGCAAGGGTCGCCTCGCCTCTGAAGTCGGCGCCACTTCTGTCCTTGAGCTTCTCGATCTCATCAATGACGTCGGCTCTCAACTGAGCGATCTCTGCCTGAAGATGGGAAAGATCGCCAGGCCTCCTGCCGTCCTTGCTCTCATCGGCCACACTGGAGGCATCATCACGGAGCCCCGCCTGCTGGCTGCCCATCTCATCACGCATGCGAGATATCTCGAGCATGGCTTGCTGAAGACTCGCACGGCCCGTGGCGTGCTCGCCAGCCTGGACGCCATTGGAATCCACTGTGCTTCCGGCAGTCAGTTTGGCAGCCTCGCTCAAGACCGCGCGGACATCTGTGTTGCCGTGGCCTTCGCTCCGATCCTGAGTCAGCTTGGCGAGCTCGTCCAAGACTGGGGAGAAGTCTATGCTGCCGTGGCGTTCCCTCAGATCCTGAGTCAGTTTGGCGATCTCGTCCAAGACTGGGGAAAAGTCGATGCTGCCGTGGCTTTCCCTCAGATCCTGAGTCAGTTTGGCGGTCTCGTCCAAGACTGGGGAGAAGTCTATGTTGCCTTGGCTTTCCCTCAGCTCCTGAAGGGCTCGCGGCAAGTCCTCTCCAATACTAGCCTTGAGTTGGTCGATCCCTGCTAACACAGGAGACAAGTCAATGGCGCCGTCCCCCACTTTGGCAATCTCTGCCAGGACTGGTGAGAAGTCTATGTTGCCTTGGCTTTCCCTCAGATCCTGGAGGGCTCTCGGCAAGTCCTCTCCGATACTAGCCTTGAGTTGGTTGAGCTCTGCCAGCACCGGAGACAGGTCAATGGCGCTGGCTCTGGCCCCCACTTTGGCAATCTCTGCTAGGACCGGGGAGAAGTCAATGGCGCCCTGGCTCTCCCTCAGATCCTGGAGGGCTCTCGGCAAGTCCACCCCGATCCTGGCCTGCTCACACCTCAGCTGCTCGAGCTCTGCCAGCAGGGGAGCCAGGTCGACGCCGCGGCCGATGTCTCCGCCATCCGGGCGCGGAAGCTGTACATCCCGGGGAGCCCTCTGCTGCAGCTTGCTCACGTCTTCCCGCATATGAGACAAATCGACGACTACCTGCTGGAGAAGCTCGCTCACTCCAGACAAGCCTGCGCCGTCGTCATGGCGACGAATCTCCGCGAGAACTGGCGAGAAGTCTATCGAGTTTCTGCTCTTGCGCACCTCATCGATGACGGACGACAGGTCCACCTCGATCACACGGGTCCTGCAGGAGGGGGGGAGCACCCATGGAGAAACACAAAACGGCATAAACATGATCTCTCTGGGGTCCGCGCGGATTTCTTGCGCTGGACCTCCAGGGGCGGCGCCAGAGGCGCCGCCAGGGGGGCCCAGCGCCAGCCCAAGAAGTCAGCGCGCACCTCCGAAAGTTCAGAAGCAATATAGCCGGAGTGCAGTATCCCCAAACAGGGTTTTTAGACCCACTGCTGTTTCCAAGGTCGATTGCGTGCCCGTCCAGTGCGGGCTGGCATGGCATGTTAAAACATGCCTCCTCCTCCTCCTCCTCCTCCTCCTCCTCCTCCTCCTCCTCCTGCTCGTCCTCTCCTCCTCCTCCTCCTCCTCCTCCTCCTCCTCCTCCACCTCCTCTTCATCCCGAACGGCATCTCGGAGCCCAGAGTTGCGAGGATGTCTCCAGCGTAACGGGCTGGACCACCTCGCGCGCGGCATTTCGGACCCCAGAGTTGCGACGATGTCTCGGGCGAAACGTGCTGCGAGGAAGTCTCAGGCGAAACGGGCCGGACCACCTCGAGCGCGGCGTCTCAGAGCTCCGAGTTGCGGGGGCCTCCTGGGGCCTCCTGGGACCTCCTGGTGACCTCCTGGGGCTTCCTCCTGGGCCTCCTGTGGCCTCCTGGACCCCACCTGGGGCTTCCTGAAGCCTCTTGGGGCTCCCAGGGGGGGATATCTAACATGTGGCCGTCGGGGCCCCCCAAAATGGGGGGGGGGCCACAAGAGCAGGAAAAATCAACGAATCGACACCGGATGTGTATTAACTTGACACGTTCTGATAGGGGGCCTCCTGGGGCCTCCTGGGAGCCTCCTGGGAATCTCCTGCGGACCCCTGGGGCCTGTCCTGGGCGTCCTGCAGCCTCCTGAAGCTCTCTGGGCCTCCTGGGAGCCACATGTGGTTTTCTGGGCCCCCAGGCTGGACCACCTCTTGCGCAGCATCTGAGAGCTCAGAGTTGCGAGAATGTCTTGTGCGAAACGGGCCGGACCACCTTGCGCACGGCATCTCAGAGCTCAGAGTTGTGAGGATGTCTCAGGCGAGATGGGCCGGACCACCTCAGGGCATCTCGGAGCCCAGAGTTGCAAGGATGTCTCCAGCGTGACGGGCTGGACCACCTCGCGCGCGGCATTTCGGACCCCAGAGTTGCGACGATGTCTCAGGCGAAACGTGCTGCGAGGAAGTCTCAGGCGAAACGGGCCGGACCACCTCGAGCGCGGCGTCTCAGAGCTCCGAGTTGCGGGGGCCTCCTGGGGCCTCCTGGGACCTCCTGGTGACCTCCTGGGGCTTCCTCCTGGGCCTCCTGTGGCCCCCAAAATGGGGGAGGGGGCCACAAGAGCAGGAAACATCAACAAATCGGCATCGGATGTGTATTAACTGGACACGTTCTGATAGGGGGCCTCCCGGGGCCTCCTGGGAGGCTCCTAGGAATCTCCTGCGGACCCCTGGGGCCTGTCCTGGGCGTCCTGCGACCTCCTGAAGCTCTCTGGGGCCTCCTGGGGCTCCCAGGGTCCCAGGGAGGATATGTAACATGTGGTCTTCCGGGCCCCCAGGCTGGACCTCCTCTTGCGCAGCATCTGAGAGCTCAGAAATGCGAGAATGTCTTGTGCGAAACGGGCCGGACCACCTTGCGCACGGCATCTCAGAGCTCAGAGTTGCGAGGATGTCTCAGGCGAGATGGGCCGGACCACCTCGCGCAGGGCATCTCGGAGCCCAGAGTTGCGAGGATGTCTCCAGCGTGACGGGCTGGACCACCTCGCGCGCGGCATCTCGGACCCCAGAGTTGCGACGATGTCTCGGGCGAAACGTGCTGCGAGGAAGTCTCAGGCGAAATGGGCCGGACTACCCCGAGCGCGGCGTCTCAGAGCTCCGAGTTGCGGGGGCCTCCTGGTGCCTCCTGGGACCTCCTGGTGACCTCCTGGGGCTTCCTCCTGGACCTCCTGGGGCCTTCTGGACCCCACCTGGGGCTTCCTGAAGCCTCTTGGGGCTCCCAGGGGGGATATCTAACATGTGGCCGTCGGGGCTTCCCAAAATGGGGGAGGGGGGCTACAAGAGCAGGAAAAATCAACGAATCAACTTGACACGTTCTGATAGGGGGCCTCCTGGGGTATCCTGGGAGCCTCCTGGGAATCTCCTGCGGACCCCTGGGGCCTGTCCTGGGCGTCCTGCGGCTTCCTGAAGCTCTCTGGGGCCTCCTGGGGCTCCCAGGGTCCCAGGGAGGATATGTAACATGTGGTCTTCCGCGCCCCCAGGCTGGACCACCTCTTGCGCGGCATCTGAGAGCTCAGAGTTGCGAGAATGTCTTGTGCGAAACGGGCCAGACCACCTTGCGCACGGCATCTCAGAGCTCAGAGTTGCGAGGATGTCTCAGGCGAGACGGGCCGGTGTCTCGGGCGAAACGCGCTGCGAGGAAGTCTCAGGCGAAACGGGCCGGACTACCTCGAGCGCGGCATCTCAGAGTTCCGAGTTGCGGGGGCCTCCTGGTGCCTCCTGGGGCCTCCTGGGGACCTCCTGGGGCTTCCTCCTAGGCCTCCTGTGGCTTCCTGAACTCCACCTGGGGTTTCCTGAAGCCTCTTGGGGCTCCCAGGAGGGATATCTAAGCTGTGGCCGCTTGGGCCTCTCAAAATGGAGGGGGGGGCACAAGAGCAGGAAAAATCAACGAACCGACACCAGATGTGTATTAACTTGACACGTTCTGATAAGAGGGGGCCTCCTGGGGCCTCCTGGGAGCCTCCTGGGAATCTCCTGCGGACCCCTGGGGCCTGTCCTGGGCGTCCTGCGGCCTCCTGAAGCTCTCTGGGGCCTCCTGGGGCTCCCAGGGTCCCAGGGAGGATATGTAACATGTGGTCTTCTGGGCCCCCAGGCTGGACCACCTCTTGCGCGGCATCTGGGAGCTCAGAGTTGCGAGAATGTCTTGTGCGAAACAGGCCGGACCACCTTGCGCACGGCATCTCAGAGCTCAGAGTTGCGAGGATGTCTCAGGCGAGACGGGCCGGACCACCTCGCGCAGGGCATCTCAGAGCTCAGAAGTTCGAGGATGTCTCAGGCGGGCTCCCAGGGTCCGAGGGAGGATATGTAACATGTGGTCTTCTGGGCCCCCAGGCTGGACCGCCTCTTGCGCGGCATCTGAGAGCTCAGAATTGCGAGAATGTCTTGTGCGAAACAGGCCGGACCACCTTGCGCACGGCATCACAGAGCTCAGAGTTGCGAGGATGTCTCAGGCGAGACGGGCCGGACCACCTCGCGCAGTGCATCTCAGAGTTCAGAAGTTCGAGGATGTCTCAGGCGAGACGGGCCGGACCACCTCGCGCAGTGCATCTCAGAGTTCAGAAGTTCCAGGATGTCTCAGGCGAAACGGGCCGGACCACCTCTCGCGCGGCATCTCCGAGGTCAGAGTTTCGAGGATGTCTCAGGCGAAACGGACCAGACCACCTCGCGCAGGGCATCTCAGAGCCTAGAACTTCGAGCATGTCTGATGCGAAACGGGCCAGACCACCTCTCGCGCCGCATCTGGGAGCTCAGACTTGCGAGGACGTCTCAGGCGAAACGGGCCGGACCACTCCTCGCGCGGCATCTGGGAGCTCAGAGTTGCGAGGATGTCGCAGGCGTAACGGGCCGGAATACCTCGCGCACGGCAACTCAGAGCCCAGAGTTTGGAGGATGTCTCAGGCGAGACGGCCCGACCACCTCGCGCGCGGCCTGTCAGCCCAGAATTTCGAGGAGGTCTCAGGCGAAAAGGGCCAGAAGACCTCGCGCGCGGCATCTCGGGGCTCAGAGTTTGGAGGATGTCTCAAGCGAAACGGGCCAGACCACCTCTCGCGCGGCATCAGAGAGCGCAGAGTTGCGAGGATGTCTCATGCGAAACGGGCCAGACCACCTCGCGCACGGCATCTCGGAGCCCAGAGTTGCGAGGAAGTCTCTGGCGAAATGGGCTGGACCACCTCTTGCGCGGCATCTCAGAACTCAGAGTTGCGAGGATGTCTCAGGCGAAACGGGCTGGACCACCTCTTGCGCGGCATCTCAGAGCTCAGAGTTTCGAGGATGTCTCAGGCGAAATGGGCTGGACCACCTCTTGCGCGGCATCTCAGAGCTCAGAGTTTCGAGGATGTCTCAAGCGAAACGGGCCGGACCACCTCGCGCACGGCATCGGGGAGATCAGAGTTTCGAGGATGTCTCAGGCGAAACGGGCCGGACCACCTCTCGCGCGGCATCTTGGAGCTCAGAGTTTCGAGGATGTCTCAGGCGAAATGGGCTGGACCACCTCTCGCGCGGCATCTCGGAGCTCAGAGTTTCGAGGATGTCTCAAGCGAAACGGGCCGGACCACCTCGCGCACGGCATCGGGGAGATCAGAGTTTAGAGGATGTCTCAGGCGAAACGGGCCGGAGCACCTCGCGCGCGGCATCTTGGAGCTCAGAGTTGCGAGGATGTCTCAGGCGAAACGGCCCGGACCACCTCTCGCGCGGCATCTGGGAGCTCAGAGTTTGGAGGATGTCTCAAGCGAAACGGGCCGGACCACCTCTCGCGCGGCCTCTCAGAGCTCAGATTTAGGAGGATGTCTCAGGCGAAACGCTCAATCCCGGACAACTCAGAAACGAGAGTTGTGAGGATGTCTCAAGCGAAACGGCCCGGACCATCAAATTTTTGTGAGGATGTCACTGCTTAGCTTTCCCTCGGCCGGAGTTAGCTTCTATCACAACAGCACCCCGTTCAGCAAGCTGTTTGGGGAAAAACCTCGAGCGTCCGCGAGCGGTGTCTCTCCGCCTGCGCCAGACCACCCTCCCTGCACTCTTCGGTGGCAACTCATGGGACCCTCCCATACCATCTTGTCGGCACTTGCGAATCGACGCTAAATCGACCCTACTCGGCGCTAGTCGACGCTAAATCGACGCTAAATAAATGCTACATCGACGCTAATGGACGCTAACCGACGCTGAATCGGCAGACCTCATCAACTCCCAGACGCTGATCGGCGCTAGTCGACGCTATTCGACGGCATTGAGAGGGCACACCAGGCTCCCAAGATTTGCTACCGGAAGCACTCCCCCTGGGGCGAGCAGCGAGAGGCGCCGCCCGGGGGTAAAGTGAAGGGCGCCCGAGAAGAAGACTACACTCCTCTGGAGGCGCGCGCCGAGCGGCGCGCCGCCCGGGGGCGTGCAGCGTGCGGGGCGCCCGCGGAGAGAAGCCGCGCGCGCGGACCTGTCTGCGTCTCTGCGTACTGCCTGCTCCTCCTCCTCCCCTCCTCCTCCTCTCTCCTCCTCCTCCCTCCTCCTCGTCCTCTTTCTCTCCTCTCTCCTCCTCCTTCCTCCTCCCTCTCCTCTCCTCCTCCTCCTCCTCCTCTTCCCTCCTCTCCTCTCTCCTCCCTCTCCCCTCTTCTCTCTCTCCTCCTTCTCCTCTCTCCTCCTCCTCTCCTCCTCCTCCTCCCCTCTCCTCTCCTCCTCCTCCTCTCTCCTCCTCCTCATCTCCTCCTCCTCTCTCCTCTCCTCTCTCCTCCTCCTCCTCCTCCTCCTCCTCCTCCTCCTCCTCCTCCTCCCCCTCCTCCTCCTCCACCTCCTTCGGCCACCCGTCCTCGTCTCCCGGATGGCGTCGAGGACGGGGGTGAGGTCCGCCCTCGGGCCCCGTGGCCCAAGGCCACAAGCAGGGGACTCCGCCCCCTCTCCCTCCCTCCCTCCTTTGAGGCCTCCCAGATGAGGTTCGAATTGGTGGGGTCGGAGGATCGCGTTGCATCGCCGATGCATCGGCGATGCCGCGCCGATGCGTAGGCGATGCATCGGCCACGTCGGCGATGCATCGGCGCCGTTGGCGTGGAGGAAATCGGGCCCCACGAGCCGCATCCCCGATGCATCGGCGAAGCGGAGCGATCCTCTGGCCCCATCTACTCCGACCCCATCTAGGAGGCCTGGACTAATGGGAAGTCGGGGTGCAGCGCCGATCCAAGAAGTCCGCGCGGACCTCCCAAAGCTCATGCTTATGCTTATGTCGTCTTTCGGGCCTCAAGAGGAGGAGGCGGAGGAAGAGGAGGAGGATGAGGAGGAGGAGGAGGAGGAGGAGTAGGAGGAGGAGGGAGGTGGAGGAGGAGGGAGGAGGAGCAGGACGAGGAGGAGAAGCACGAGGAGGAGGAGCAGGAGGGAGGAGGAGGAGCAGGAGGGAGGACGAGGACGAGAAGGAGGAGGAGGAGGAGGAGAAGGAGGAGGAGAAGGAGCAGGAGGAGGAGGAGGAGGAGGAGGAAGAGGAGGAGGAGGAGGGGAGGAGGAGGAGGTGGAGGAGGGAGGAGGAGCAGGACGAGGAGGAGAAGCACGAGGAGGAGGAGGAGCAGGAGGGAGGAGAAGGAGCAGGAGGGAGGACGAGGACGAGGAGGAGGAGGAGAAGGAGGAGGAGAAGGAGCAGGAGGAGGAGGAGGAGGAAGAGGAGGAGGAGGAGGTGGAGGAGGAGGAGGAGGAGGAGGATGAGGGAGGAGGAGGAGGAGGACTGACTGACTGTGACTTGGATCCAACGTGTCGTCAACTGCCTCTGACACTACCTCTTGTAGTGCGGAATAAAAACTTGCAGCATCAATCTGGATCTGTCGGGGCAAGCCCCCTCGCTACGCACAAGTGCGCGGGTGCCATGTAGCACTCTGGCACTGCACGCACCCTACTCCTGCGCTGGCAGGCTAGGGGCATGCGTGCACTCGGATATATAATTATATGCAGCTGTCTTGCCTTAACGTGCTCCTCTCAAGCACTGGCGGAAAAAACGGCGGTTGCATTTGAGAGGCGTTTTATTCCTCACTTACAGCCACGTGCTCCGGAACAGCGTTTCCGGAGCACGTTGGAATATCTATGCCGCTGTCTTGCCTTTGCCGCGCCTGCCTCGGCCTCGACTCTTACCTTTGTCCTGCCGAACAGGCAGGGGGCGAGGAGTGAGGAGAGTGGGGCCAACTGAGGATTGCAAAACTGGCGCTGGCTGACTAGGAGCAGGAGCGGCACTCAGGAAGCCCGCGGTCTCCGGAGCTCGGTAGCGCTGACTGTCGCGAAACGCGGGCGGCGCCGAGCGCGGGGCCCCTCGGCTCCGGCTGCTCTGGCTCAAGTCTGGCGTCACGAGTCGGGCTCGCGTCTGAACCTGTGGAACTGGTTCTCCCACGAGCTCCAGTATCACTTCGTCGTGTGGACGAGGCGGTTCAGCTCGCGCTGGAGTGGCCCCCGCGGTGCTGCGCCCAGCTTCCGCTGGCCTCCCTCTTTCTTGATCTCGGCGATGATGATGTCCCGAATCAGCTTCATGTTGCGCTCGTGCAAGTCGAAGGAAAAGATTAGCCGCATTTTCTCCTTCTTGTTGGGGGCCTTGTTCTTCTTCGCCTGGAAGTGGGTGATGCAGCTGCCCAGCGGCTCCGACCCCTCCGCACAGACCACCGTGCGCCAGAACTCCTCGAGCACCTTCTTGGCTTCCGGGTCCACCAGGGTCGCCAGCCCTTTGATCGTCGCCGCTGCGATCACCAGGTGCGGCGGGCCGAGGGCCGCCGTGTCGGTCTGGCTGTCCACCATGTGTTGCTCCTTCAGCTCCTTGGCGTCGGCGTCGTATTGCTGGCCTGCTTGAATGGCGAACGTGGGGAGCGGCTTGGCTGCGTCCATCTCCCAGGCCTCGTACACTGTGGCCTGCAGGTCCTGTACGTCTTTGGCGACTACGAGCGCCAGCTTGGCCGAGGTGACCGCGATCTGCTCCACCCTGTCCCAGTCCTTGCCCTTGCCCGCGCCCTTGCTCTTGAACTGCTTGTTGGGGTCGTTCTGGTCCGTCGCCGCCGCGAGCCCCCTCTTGCCCGCCCACGCTGGTCCAGTGGCGAAAGCGTCCACCATGGCTGCGCCCCCTGCTGTGCCTGATGCCGCCGCCGCCGCCGCTTCGCCTGGCATCTTGTCGTGGAGCGCCGGCTGGGCGCGAGGCGGCCGCGGTCGGGGCCGAGGTCGGTCGGTGCGCTGGAGTCGGAGGCTGCAGAATTGTTCGGGGAAAATGGCTGCGGATGTGGGCAAAGAGCTGTTGTTTGTCGTTGTCCGCATACCCGCATATTCTGCATCTCTGGTCAAAGTCCTCCGCTGGTTTCATCGTTCTGCTTCTGTCCGAGGGGCATTGTCCACGCAGAAAGGCCTTCATAAGATGCCTGCCCGCTGTGCTCCGTTCCCCGAAAATCGTACCGCAATTTACACACTCATTGTTTATGGTCAGGAGGAAGGCGAGGTTGCTGAGCTTGTGCTTGCTTCGCATATGTGATATTAATGCTTTACGCGATCCAAAGCACATCCCGCACACCATACCTTCACACTGTGATCCTGGGAGAGTCGGCGCAGGCACAGGCATGTTTGGCAGCGTCGGCGCAGCAACATCGTCCATGAGCTCGCATCTCCACGGCGCAATCTCTGACAGGACCGTCTCCTCCTCCGCTACGTCCGCTGCTGCTATACTAGAGCTAAGGCCTGGGGGTGGGATGGTGCGGGCTCGGTAGGCCTGGCGGAGCTCCTTGGGGTCCAGAACACGAAGGGCCTCCTGGAAATCAGACTCAAAGAAGTTACCTGGTTCTATATCGAGGTCTCCAATATTACTCGCAAAGCTGTCAGTGCGGCAGGCCTCCTCTAGGTCTTTAACGATTCGCTTAGCCCATTCGTTACACAGTGGGTGAAGCGTACCATCGTCACAGACCGTCGGTTCTGTCTCCAGCCCCAGCTGTCCGAAGATAGCCGTCAGTAGCTGCTGATGCCGCGTAGGTTCCAACAGTACTTTACGAATCCATGAGAGACGTCTGACAGTGGCCTCCATCTGCAGTGGGAGAATACGCCAGTGCCTGAGAACATCGTAACTGGTTAGACTTCGAGTCGATCCGTCCTCCAAGCGCCTTGTAGCCTGTACCCTCATAGCTTTCCTGGCCAAACCTGCCACCGTCATGGTAAGTGTTCTGTACTCTGACTTCGTCGGGCAGTAGCTCTCTATGCAACTGAGACCTGCGTTCACAACTTTGCATATGAGGACCGAACGTTTCCATTTATATGGGATCCCCGCTTTGAACCAAAATCCCCCCATCTCCTTGAAAGCCCTGGTCATCGCATGCACACGTTGTTTCAATTCCGCTCCGAATGTGTTGGCCGTGTTTAGATGTGGTCCCAGATATCGTGCCGACTGTACCGTGCGCCCCGGAGGACGAGGAGGAGGAGGAGGAGGCTGGTCTCCTCTGGCCTGGGCCCTCCCCACGTCGTCGTCGTCGTCGTCGTCGTCGTCGTCGTCGTCGTCGTCGTCGTCGTCGTCGTCGTCGTCGTCGTCGTCGCCACCCTTTGCGTATTGCTCGGTGCCGGACCGCAGGCCTCGGGCGGCTTGATCTGTTCGATCGGCACAAGCAGCCCTCTTCTCAGAGCCCCACAGGTTTTCTGCGGAGAAGGAGGAGGGGCATGAGGGAGGGGACGACCTCAAAATCTCTCGAGTAACCCGTGCACTCCGTGGCGATACGCGGCAGAGACTGACCAGTGGCTTTGTTTACCGCAACGACCCAGAGGTAAACATTATTGACCCACGACACCGGAAAGGGATTTAGAACTGCGAGGCATGGGAACGTTTTCAAACACCTCAATTGGGCCATGGGCAGTGGCAATGCTGAAGATATCAATGGTGATGGTATTATGCCAAGGGCTGTGTTGTGCTGATCTGCGATGTGCCGCGCCGCATAGTGACGTGCCAGGGACGCGCCACGAAACGTGCCAATGGAAGTGCAAGGGGACGCAGCAGGGGACATGCCGTGTTGAACTGTGCCGTGCGCTACTATTGCATTGTGGGTGAAGCCGTCGTTGGCGTCAGAATCCTGACCGAACTGACTTGGATCTTAAGCTCGAGCTTTCTGAACGCATAGCTCAGGCGATTTGCAATCGAAACGCGCGAGGTGCTCGACCAGCTCGAGCTCAAGATCGGATTCAATTCCGCAGCCCTCCCTGGAGACACCCTCACCATTTGCTCAGGCATCAGGCCAGATGACCATATGCTGGATATTTCCATGTGTAGCCTGGACGCGTGAAGACGTGGTTCCAGCTCGGGGCAACCATGTTAGATACCCCTCTGGGTGGCCTGGACACGTGAAAACACGTGGTTCCAGTTCGGGGCAACCATCTTTGATGCCGCCCTGAGTGCCCTGGATATGGAAAAACACTTGGCTTCAGCTCGGGATCACCATGTCAGATACCCACCTGGGTGGCCTGGACACGTGAAAACACGTGGTTCCAGCTCGAGACCACCACGTTAGATACCCCGGTGGGGAATATGGAAAATCACCCACCGAAGAAACTGTGTCAGGTTGTTACACATCTGGCTGGTGTCGATGTGTTGACTTGTCTGGCTCTTGTGGGCCCCCACGCTGGGGGCGCCCAGACGACCACACGTTGAGACCTCCCCCCCATCAGGTGGCCCGCACACGCAAAAGCACGCAGTTCCAGCTCGGGGCAGCCATGTCAGATGCCCCCTCTGAGCGGTCTGGGCACGTGAAAAAACACGTGGCTCCAACTCGGGACCACCATCTGAAATACCCCCTGGGTGGCCTGGGCACATGAAAGCACATGGTTCCAGCGAGGGGCAAGAGGCAACCATCTTAGATACCCCCCCCCCCAGGG